GCCACGCACCGCCGGCCGTGGCGCCCGTGGCGCCGGCCGTGGCGCCCGTGGCGCCGCATGTGGCGCCGCCCGTGGCCCATGTGGCCGTGGCGCCTGTGGCACCTGCCGCGGTGGCACAGGTGCCTGTCAGGCGCACATGCTCAGCAGCCATTTTTGGGCGCATGGAGAGTGGATTCTTGATTGTCTAGAGCTAATGATATATATATATATAATATATACACACACATACATATTCATATCAAGATTATTGTATACCTTTTTTCCATGATATGCGCCCGGCTGTGACGGGGCGGAAGTATCGAAAAAGAACAATGGCTATGAAATCAATGGCCTGTTGGAATGCTGTGAGATGCTCCGACAGGCCTCAGGCACAAGCACCGCCGGTGCAGTGCCAGGTGGGGTTGCAGTGGGAACCATGAGAACGCTTGATGAGTGCACTGGTAATCTTACTAACTTCATAATCTTTATATTGAGACTTAAATTACATATTATATCATATTATATACATATCATGTCTAATTATTCATTTCACATATTGTGGATGTTGACACTTTGTTTGTGATGAAATCCCAACTCCTGGCGTCAGGTGCAGATGCCCTCGCCCTCGGCGCCATGGACCTCTTGGGAGACGGAGGAGCTCTCCCTGTCTAAGCCTTTAAGGTAGCTTGTTGCATGGGAAAATGGGAAATTTATTATCCATTTATAGCTTATATATATATATATATAACCTTATATACGGTACACGCATTATTTCAATGGTGATTTTCAATAGCTGGGTGGCGGTAAACCATCCGAAGATATCCTAATCATTCCATGTTTGGTCAGTTTTGATCCATGCCCACTTGATCCAAATTGATCATGAAAGTCAGCCAGTTCAACTGCGGGAAATATGAATATCAACTCTGTCCTTGATGCTGTTGAATGCTGTTCACGATTGTTCACAAACAGCTACACATATGAGCAGTTAGGTAGTGGCCGGTAGTGAGACTTTGTGTTTCGATCCTACCTGGGATGAGGACAAATATGTTGAGGTAATTTGAGATACAGTAGGTGGTTTGACCCCCAACCTATGTCACGCGTGTCACACATCCAGGTGACATATCCCAGTTGTTCCCAACTACTGATTCTTTTAACACCCGTTATAACCAGGTGTGAGTTGGTTACGTATTTTCCCATCACTGCTATATCATGGTTTGATCCCATTTATATATATATACACTGTATTTTTATCTGCATGATACGTATGGAGTTCCCCTTTCCCCCAAGACTACATAATATATGTAATGGACTTGTCTGAAAACAGGGTCCCCCAAAATTTGATGCTGAATCATCAAGTTCCCCAAACAAAATAATCAATTGGGGGATGCTCACCCCATTTTCAGACATCATCATCATCATAATCCCACATACTCTCTGGTAATTTAACATAGCTATTGAACATGGTGATTTAGTTCGTGGATTTAGCCAGCTAGAAAATGGTGGATCTTTCCATAGTTATGTTAGTTTACCAGAGGGTACATCAAGTTGCTAAAAGTTGAGGATATCTCATGAGATTCCCATTGAAATCCTCGGTAAACCCGGTAAACCTGATGACCTCAAGGAGACCGTGCCGAACATGTCGGCAAGCGCAAGGACTAAGCCCACCAGCCGTGTTTTTTTTCTCCTACTGTATCATGGATCATAATGTATGATATATGTATGATATAGATTGAGATAGTGTGAATAAACATTACTCAGCTATATATAGTGAGAGAGGGAGAAGAGATATGTGTATTACATGATATATATGATATATATATGATATATATGATATATATGATATATATGATATATATATATATATATATGATATATATGACATGATATATATGATATCTCTGCTCTCTATGCTCTATCTGATCTCTATCTCTCTCTATCTATCTCTCTCTCTCTCTCTCGCGCTCTCTCTCTCTCTCTCTCCTCTCTCTCTCTCTCTTCTCTCCGCTCTCTCTTCTCTCTGCTCTCGCTCTCTCTGCTCTCTCTTCTCTCGCTCTCTCTCTCTCTCGCTCTCTCGCTCTCTCTCTGCTCTCTCTCTGCTCTCTCTTCTCTCTCTCTGCTCTCTCTTCTCTCTCTCTGCTCTCTCTCTCTCTCTCTCTGCTCTCTCTCTGCTCTCTCTCTCTCTCTCTCTCTGCTCTCTCTCTGCTCTCTCTCTCTCTCTCTCTCTGCCTCTAACTCTCTCTTGCCTTTCACGAGGTCTTGGGTTTTTGGGATTTTTAGGGTATATTGGGTTTCAAAGTCAAAATGCATCATTTCGAGCAACCTGCGCGCAGAAGGGTCGTGAGGAAAAGTGTTGAATGTTGTGATTTTTGTTGAATCAGTGGTCCACAGGTCCAACTGGCGTTCCAGAGAAACTGAAACAGTCGGAAACAGTCGGAAACAGTCGGAAACAGTCGGAAACAGTCGGGAGCGGCCCGGCGTGATCGTGCCAAAATTGTCAATCCGCCATTTTTTTGCAAAAAAAAACGTTCCGCGCAATCCCCTTTTTTTTTGAAAGTGCAACGGGAAACAGTTGGAAACAGTTGGGGCTCGTACCTTTGACTCGGCAAAAAACGAGCTATTTAAAACCAGTTTATAAAGAACATGAACCTTAAATGGTTTTAAATAGCTCGTTTTTTGCCGAGTCAAAGGTACGAGCCCCAACTGTTTCCAACTGTTTCCCGTTGCACTTTCAAAAAAAAAAGGGGATTGCGCGGAACGTTTTTTTTTGCAAAAAAATGGCGGATTGACAATTTTGGCACGATCACGCCGGGCCGCTCCCGACTGTTTCCGACTGTTTCCGACTGTTTCCGACTGTTTCTCTGGAACGCCAGTTGGACCTGTGGACCACTGATTCAACAAAAATCACAACATTCAACACTTTTCCTCACGACCCTTCTGCTCGCAGGTTGCTCGAAATGATGCATTTTGACTTTGAAACCCAATATACCGTAAAAATCCCAAAAACCCAAGACCTCGTGAAATTCAATAGATAGATATATATATGATATATATGATATATATATATATGATATATATGATATATATGATATATATGATATATATATATGATATATATATAATGATCTATAATGATATATAATGATATATAGTGATATATAATGATATATAATGATTCAATGCCAGTAAAGGTTGGTGAATCGTGGTGATCATTCTTTTTTTTGACATATTAATTTGCACAGATGGAACGTTTCAAGACTGTTGCCTTCACCTTGGTGACACAGATCTGATATGTTGCACCCCAAAGACATGGCACAATTTTGAAAGGATGTCATAGGCTCCCGGAGGTTTGGCTTCTTGATGGTTCTTGTATATCCCAAAAAATCACATCATTTCCACATTGCCAACAGTTTTCAAGCAATTTTTCACTGGTTGCTATACAGCCATCTATCGCCTACACCGACACCACACTTCGGTATACATCCGTATACCATGGAGCCAGGACAATTGTCCCGCCACAAGCTCCGACCAGCTCACCTTACGTGGCCCCTCAGGCGTGGCGGGATGTGTAAGAACCATACTTTCCGGGGGATAAACAATGATAAACAATGATAAACATACATTTACCAGTTACTTTTATGTTCAGGGCTATATTGAAAAATCCCCATTTAAAAGTTCTCAGGGATCAAAGCGCCACTGACAAAAAATAACTATCATTGTGGATTTATGATTCTGGATACAGGTGCAATAAGGGTCTCGGTCATGTTTAGTGTTGACCATCCATTTGGAGGCTGCTGCCAGGCTGCGATTTCCCATTTCTGGTGTTTTTTCGAACCCAAAGCTCGACCATGTGTTTGATGAGTAAAGCATATTAACACATGTTTTTTTGATAATTACTTCATACTCAGAAGGTCTTAAAACCCAGTGTTCGATGATCCAACCCCCACTCTTGCTGCTTAACAAGACCGAAAAACTCGTGATGTAAATCCCATGCAATCCCTTACCCTAATATGAAACACCCCCATTGGGGCCCAAAATATGTGGGAGACCATCCTCTACAAAACCATGGTTCCTCCCCAGGTCTTGCAACCTACTGGCTTTATCCCAGAGGCAAATTTCCGATCAAACCATCCATTTTGCTGGAGATTTTCCAGCCATGAGATTTTGGCCTGACTCGTTTAATTGGGGTAAATGAGGGGATTAATGGAGGTTCGAATGGTTTAGTTCGGGGATTTTCCCATTGGAACCTCCATTTGGGCGCTTTCCTGAGATCCTGCGATCGCCATGGTGGATCAAACTTGGAAATAGTGAATGGTGATCCCCATTGACGAGCATATTTTTCAAGGGTTGAAACTACTAACCAAAAGGATGGGGAGGGGAACACCCGGTGATTTTCTTGGGAACAAAAGAACTGAGGAGATGTTCACCACGAGAAGGGGAAAAAAACATACGGTAATCAGCCGCCAAAAACTGGGTACAAACATAAAAAAAACCACACAACCCGAGATTGGTGATTCAACAAACACACTGTTGGATTTCCACAAACCAAATTTGGAATACATCAGAAAAATGGCTGTAAGTGGTGGATAATTAAGGCATATTATGGTTAAATACTGTCCAAGAATGGGGGACTCAGGATTGTCAGCCACTAACTGGGATGCGCATCCAAGTTCATCCAAGTAGTCAAGGGTTTGCTACTTGTTTAAATAGACTTATTTGCTAGCAGCTAGCAAGATTTTTGTTTGTCATGAAGACATCATCAGACAACACTGTTTTGCAATGTTTTGCTGCGATTCTTTGGGCTGGGTTTTCCACTGGACATCATGGGAAGTGTACATACAAGACCCTCAGCTCAACTTGTTTGTCAACTTTCCGGGCTCGCAAAAACAAGTAGAGCACCGACTTCTCAACCAACTTAAGCAAACTTGGACCCTTCAGACTTCACCGATATATATATATATATATATACACATACACACATCGTGGATCCCCATGATCCCCAAATCGTTTGGCCTTGGTCATCTGAGGCATGTCAGGTGCAATTGCCAGCAGTTCCAGCTGCAGAGGCCTGGGAAAAGATCAGGTGATTTCTGGAGTTCCTGCAGAACTTTCACCAAAGAAATTCCCATGTTCAGGTCAAATATCGTCAAACATACAATATTATTATACCTATAAACACATACATATGTATATAAGTAATTACATAATAATACATACAATATAATATAATATAATATAATATAATATGACATAATATGTTTTACCTTTATGGGCAGATTCTCCGGCCAGCCCACGATTGGTTGCCAGAGGGTACCAGAGGTTATATTGACTCTTCCCTACCAACTCATATTAGAAGAAGTCATTTAAACAGCGAACCCAATATAGCTAGACCATCCCCATTTTCACTTGAAATTGGTTGTGTGAATAGCCAAAGTTGGAGGTTTACTATTCGCTTTACTGCTGTAAACCATTGGCATTCGGGGATGGTTTCTGTTTCAATCCCCATTTCTGCCGGTGGAAGCCTCCCAGCATGGCCAGGGACACTTGCTGGGACCGGCGATTCGCCTACCAGGTGGTGATGCGGATTGGCAACCACCGCTTCTGGGACTTGAAATATATTATATATATACACTATATAATATTATATAGTGTATAAATATTGAAATATATATATATAATTTTGTCAGAATTCTGACTTGAGCTGCAAGCAGTGGGTATGCTAAGCACAGACCGTGAAAAAATCTTCGTAAGCTCTTGTCATTGTCTATGGTGTGATCGATCATCTATGAAACAACGTGATATCCTGTTGGCGTCTAGTATGAAGACTCAAAACATATCAGCAAAATGAAGTGCTTTATTGGATGACAGCAAATATGGAAACAAAGTGACAGCGACAGCGACCAACGGACCAATATCAGTAGGAAACCACAGCCTTGGGTGCCTGGAAGTCCAAGCAACCAACAAGTTAACCAATCAACCAACAATATCAACAATCAACCAACCATCTTCAGGGTTGCACAAATCTAGCGTAGGTATATAAATGATTGCCACTTTGGGGCGTTTTTTCCTTAATGATTCATTTTATCATATGATTCATATGTTATCTCTATACTTCGCAGACTTAGCTCATTTTCCCCCCAAAGGTATTTGGGGGGGCCAGCTGTCGCCATGCGTCACCCAAGGTCTTCTGAGCCAGATGTGGTCTATACGAGCACACACGTCCCTTGGCGAGTCTGTGAAGAAAGCTGTTTTTGTGTGGTTGGGTTGATCCAATAAGTAATTGTATTGATATTGATATACGGTATATTATCATATACATTAATTATATACATTATACATTATCCAGTATTAATCTATAACAATCTATATTTTATTATTGTTATATACTTTGGTTAAGATTCTATAACTGATGCAGGATGCGGATGCTACAGCTATGCATATACGTATGTGTTCTTTTTTCATATTCCGGGCCGGTGCTTAATCCAATGATTTATCCGAGATGTTTTGAGTCTGAAAATGTTTTTTTTTTGTACCTCCAGATTTGATGCTTGGGGTCATCAGTTTTGGGAATTAAGATAGCTATTATCCCATATTATCCCCATGTCTCTTCTGGACAAAGGCAAATGTTGTAAAGTGAGTGTCCTGCTGTGCTCAAGGTGTTATCACAACAGGCCGAGAAGGAGAAAGAGGAAGGAAATCAACAGGAGCCTTTGATCCTCGCCACTCCAGCTATTTTATTTTTTGATGTTTCGAAACGTAATCTCACTACAAAGGCAGAATGATCCCAACAACAGAATGATAAAGTGCCTGGAAAAAAGAACTTCCCAAATCTTACAAAACACTATGGGCAATGAACCCATGATCTTCCTATTTGGAAAAGGATGCCAGCTGCCAACATCACGAAACCAGGACATCCTGGAGCATTGCCGGGACACCGCGTGGCCCTGGCGTTTTGGTGCTGCGGTTAGTCCGTTATTCATCAGCGTGGTGGAGATGTGTCCATTTCAACTATGGTTAGCATTGTATGACATACGACCCAAGCATGTAATTTCAAGTATATAGCTCATCCATCTAACAGCAGTAATCATGATGAGAATTCTGCAATTGAGTGTTGATATCCTTAGCAGTGTTGTTGCTACGGGCCATAGGTCTTGAGTATCTGAGCTCATCATGACGCCAGCCATCCCCTCAATCATTGGTTTTGTCATGTTTTGTCCCATTTGGTGCCCAAAATTACCATCCAAATATACTAGGTCCTATCAATTGAATCAAATATCAAGTTGCCAAATATCACTTTCTTCTATGAAAGTGGTCACCCTTCAGGGAACTTTGACACTGGCCGTTAATCCATGGCCAGGAAGCTGGTGAAGCAACTGGCCTCGGTGCTCAAGGGCTTGGAAGCCGACGTGGAGAGTCTGACCCTCAATCCGGTCAAACTCATCACTTTCCCCAGGATTCCATGGCAATTGGAGCATGACAACTGATCAAAATGCTTTGATGTTTGTTTGATGTCAGGGTTAACCTGGCTACAAAATGCTTTCAGACCCGATAGGGATATGACACCGGTTTGTTTGCTGAATGTTGTGAAGGAACTGGTGGACTCGTGTGCTGCCAAAGCCAGTTCATCTGCTGTTGCGACTGGTTCAGGAGTTGCTCCAGATCATGTGACATGAACATTGGTGGATGCGTTCATGGAGAAAACCCGTCTTGGGTCACCAGGTCATACGATACGAAAGGATAATCCATGATCATCCCATGATTCATATCTGTGATGTTGCTTTACCTATGTGAAGAAAATGATAGAATTTAGATATTAAAGAATGTCGAACACCATCTTTGTTTTTAATCAATCCTGCTAAATTCGGGGCTGCTCCAACCGATTATATATTGACAAATGATTGCCACAAGGGAGGAAGAATTGTTTCTTTATGAAAATTCTCCCTATGGATCCATAGGTCTGCGGCGTGAGAACCACAGCCTTCGGAAGACGGTTTTGGCAGCGGTTCCGCAGCCCGAGCCTTAGCCGCGCCGGTAGCATCAATGAAACTACCAGTGTTTTGCGACATATCAATGACATATCAATGTGGCAAAATTTAAACCATAATGATCCATAATGGAGGTTTAAAACCCAATATCGATTAATAAACCATATTGGAGGTTTTCTGTATTTTTCTGTTGGCTAAAGCGGCTTCACCAGGCGCTTTCCTGAGGAGCTTCGAAGGTGCGATGGCTTCACTGATAGCTTTTGAAGGTTTTTCTGGCTTCCCATCCATTTAGCGGGTGTTTAATGATGTTTAATGTATTTTAATGTTAGGGGAACAGGATTATTCACTACATTTTTACTGGCAGTTGATAGTTTCCTATTGGAAGGTCTGACTCTGAAATCAGGTCAGTAGCCAAATCTCTTCCTGGAGAATCCTAGACACAGTTGCGCATTATCACTATCAGCGTATTTCATTGTTATTATCAATAATTATTATTGTTATTATTAGTATATTAGTATATATTAGTATTATTATGATCATTACAATATTGTCATTACTATTATTACGCGTATTATTACTACCATTGTGACTACGACTATGACAATTATTTCCCATCATATTCTGGCACCATGACCTGCATGATTTTCCCAGGCCAGAGACGGAAGAAGAGGATGAGGTTTGGCATCCGGACATGGAGGGTTCCTCAGTGGCAGTCCGATACTCAGAGATGGGAACCCACTGGTGATGGATTTACTGTGGGGGGTGTGGGAACCCACTGGTGTTTGGAGATGGCAGAAGTTGCAGATGATGACTGGGAACTGCTTCTTATTGTCCAGATAAATCATTGTTTGCAGTGGTCGAGGGTGGTTCATCTCAGATCTAAAGCCAACATGAGCTCTACTGTACCTGAATGTGCTTGTGTTTCGGGATTTCAATCGATTTCTTTGATTTCCTCATTTTGGCACCTGTTGTTTCTGACAAGGTTTCATCCTCCCTGGCTCCGGCGAACCCACTTCAGACGAGGCCTTGATCTTGTCATGGAAACAACCAGGGCGTCTGTTGGGTCCAGAGTTTTTTTTTGGGGGGCACGGAGATTAGGAACCATCAAGAAACAGCACAGGGAAGGCTAGGAGCCTCAGAAAAAGAACATCTTCATACCAAAACAAGAACAGTTGGATTTCATGTCCGGAAGAAAGGTGGGAATGTGTGTTGGCTTTCCTCCACTAGGTTATTGTCATGGCTGCCTAAAAATGGCTTCCAGGATACAGCTTGAGTACTCATTGACATTGTCGACCAACAACTCCAGGATGGGTGATTTAAACAAGCAACTGCCCATGTATGCGGTTTTATCTCAGTTACTGCTGGCTGTATCACAACTTACTAATACCACTCTTAGTTTGTCATTTTGCCATTATCCTACTTACAGATAGTGGATAAAGACTGGTCTTTAAATGAGGTTCTTTAATCACAATTTGAATCTGCCATGTACCAGCTGGGGTTATTTACCAATTATTCTTGCTTTATCTTCCATTGCTGTTGTTACTTTCGGTAGATAATTTTATATTGTACTCATATGCACTAGCATTGCTTCATTATCTCTTATTGCTTACCCAATGGCATCCAATGGCCAATACACTTCATTCCATGGGGCATAATTTTCCAAGAAAGGGTACCAAATTCAACACCCATCTTACCATTACCAGAGCTCTGTATGGCTATGAATCAATACCTATTAATACCATTTTTAGTGGGTTATTCACATCCATAAATCCCAGCTATTTTGATGTGAACTACAGGGGTACAAGGTTTTGACACACTGCCATATTGTACTCAAGCTGGTTGGTGGTCTCAAATACGTTTTAAATTCCAGTCAACCATAGTCAACCTGGGATTGATCACGAACATCTCTGGGATGGGGTTGCAACCAGCAACCGAAGTACTGTTAGTTACCCAACTCCAACGTACCAATCCCGCTTATATGATACTAGTACGACATAATATCAATCACCCATAAATCATATGCAATACAAAACACTGTTTTCTGATTATACCCAAAATTGGCTATGATATGATATGGTCCTCCAAGAAATTGATACCAAGTATCTTTCATGAGACTATATTATATAAACAATTAACCTGGAATAAACTAACAGTTCGATGTGGAAAACCAATGATTTCCCTAGGAAGATGATCTACAAATAATGAGTTCTAGCCTAGCAATGGGAAATTGCCTGCCATGTTTGATTACCAGAGGGTATATCCATGTATATCCCAATTAGTTTTGGTTGTATGTTGGTTGTTAGTATTGAACTTACATGATTTTTTTCCATTTCTTGATTTCCCGCCATGAAAAATCCCATCATTTGTTGGTCATTTATATCCCCATTTTTTTTAACATATGGCATTTCCCATTTACTGATGATATCTCCAATTATATCCCATTATATATCTAATATCCGATAATGTCTCTCTCTCTCTATATATATTATATATACTGTATATATACATACAATACACCCATATATATATATATATCCATCAATATATATATATATACACATATGATATCATATGATATCCCTCAAGATATCGCCATGAAAGTTACCACGGTTTGTTCATCCCTTTGTTTCATCTCAGGTCGACTCCTCCTCCCTCTGCACGCCTGGCGACGCCCCCGGTGTCACAGCCCACACCGCAGGAGCGAACGTGCGGAACTCGGCAGCGACAAACCACGGGAAAGGCTGGGTAAACGATGAGAAAACCTGGATAAAACATGGTAAACGGATTTGAATAGCCCGGTTATGTGTATTATAGACATTTATATATACTGCATATATCTCGATATTTGGAATATCCTGAATTCATGATGTGAACAATACGTATGGGGTGTATGTTTAGATATTGAAATATCCAAATAGCCGCTTACGATTCCTGGGATGCACATCCAAGAAGAGTTGTTGTTGTTGGATGTTGATGGACTTGTTGTTGGCTGTTGCTGGATCCTATTTGGTTCTGATTATCATCAAATCTCACCAACATATCATTCATCGTTCTAAGAGAGCCTTCAAGTATCATCAATTATAGCATCCTTCAAGCCTTCTAGACGATAAAAGGTAAGTTATCACTATTTTACCAGGCTTTCACATTTCCTATTTGAACAATTTTCTTGGGGGTGCTTTTATACACGACCCGTCCAATTTGAACTACGCATTTAAATTTGCACCATTTTGCACCGATATCAGGCTTCCTGCTACTCAGCTCACGCAAGGAGGGGCAGGGTAGCCGACGTCTGTTGGATCTCTGTCTTTGGGCATTTTGTTCTAAGTAAGAGCCCTGAAATCCATCTTGTGTTGTCTGAGCTGCTTTGTGGTGGTTCCAGGTGTGTTTGTTGATGCTGTCCTTGTATGTTCTTGTGAAAAATGTAGCAATGTAGACTCAATCCATTGAACAGATTTGACCCGAGTACGAACTGTTCTGGCTTCAGTCGTGGAATCCACCCTCGTTCACGTGGCAATGCGAGAATAACCATCAGAGGTATCACCACGAGATAATGCTGCAACTTGCATGTAGTTTCCGTAGCCTCTACTACAAACCGGCCCCTTTGCAATTTGTTTGAGTGCGATTTCAACCCTCGCAACATGTAACATGAACCTGATAGTGGAACACAGATTTCGAGGTTGGATGCCTGTTGAAAAAATCTTAAAGGGCAAAGGGCGAATCCTAGTTTTCTGCCTTAATAAGTTTATATATTACAGTACAGTAATTCTGCGCCCCACTTTCTCCCACCATGAAAACACATCAACTCAAACAATCAGAAGTACAATTGTAAAAAAGATAACATGTACAAAAAATATCAACAAATTATCATCAAAACATTGACTTTTCCCCCGGCCGGGATGTGCCCTACAAACCTTACAAAAGCCTTTGCTGTTCCTCTGGAAGGTCGCGGCACCCCCGAGCCGGCGCAGTCCCCGCAGCCCTTGCAGCCCTCGCAGCCATCGCAGCCCTCGCAGCCATCGCAGCCCTCGCAGCCCTCGCAGCCCGCGGAAGTCCCAGTCCCTGCAGTGACCGCGGCGGTGCAAGCGACCGCAACGGTGGCAGCGGCCAAGGCAAGCTGCCGGGGACTTTGACCCACAAAAAAACATGTGCTTTTTGGGGGCAACAAAGATGCGAACAGCGGATTTGTGTGGATTTTGAAAATTCAAAGCTTTGGGATGTTTTACATGATCAAAATGGAGTTTGAAGCATTTATATGCCCGCGACACGGGGTGTTTACACATCACTTACATAGCAAAAATACGCGGATTTAACCAACATCGGTTTTTATGAGCCAGACTTGTGATGTTTATCAGCCACACTAAGTTGTTTTCTTTAATCATACTTTAGCCAACAAGAACGGAGATTGAATCCACACAATTCATAACTTAATTGTGGTACATGGGATTCAACCAATTTTGCCATTAGAATCAAGGATATTGACCAACCACAGTTGAGGATAAGCAACCGAGAATTTTTTGCGATATCAACTGGTTGTGGTGTGTTTAAATTACGGAGCCGACCCCATGATTTTGGTTGCTTGCTCAATCAAGCGGTCCAATGTCATGTATTAGTTGCTTCTATTCAAATCACATGAAATCTCTATTCCATTCCTAGCTGCTGTGGATATTTTGGGCCTTGACCACCATAGATCAGTTGAAACCACTGGATGTTCAGTGGAGCTTTGGGATGATCCCTGGTTAAAGGCGCTTCCGGCCACAACTGCAGCGTTGCGGATCCCAAGTGGAGGGGCGAACACTGCACCGGAGCAGTGTTCATGGTCATCCCACTGGCAGGTTTTAGGATCCCATTTTACCGACGAAAGATGCATGATGGGATGATCATACCCAATATACCATAGTTTGATATAGTTTGATGTCTATATGGAACATTATGGAACCGTTGGGGATGGGTAAAAGTGCAAGACCTGGATAACTCGCGGGGACCTATCCATCGATGTCTTGCAGGACTCATTTTCGATCTCTCATCATTCTGACTTCTTGTAGCGCCTCTCCACCCGCTCCACGTCCCCCAAAGAATTGGCTCATGTGTCAGGCCAAAAAAGCGCTCCGGCAGCAAGGACAGCATAGGCACAGACGGTCATTGACTCATTGACTGTTGGGCTGAAGAGTTGGTGGTGCAGAGCTCTCTCAGAGGAAAGTGTTCAATGCACAGGTCATTTTTGAGACAATGCTAGATATAAAATGATATCAATCACATATGTCCATTATGTTCCATTATGGAATGGTACACAATACAGCTAGTGCTACTCAAGTAGACATCTCAGCACTTGAGTTTGCGGGAAGCTTTGAAGGATGGGGTGCTCATAAGAGGGTCTATGAGAAACGGGTTTGTCTGAAGAGTTTCAAAAATTGATGCTTGATCAATGTTGATCATCATTTTCCCCATAAAATTGCCATTTGAATTCATTTTAGGCATTAGATGGTATTAGGTATTCCCCATTTTCAGACAAAGCCAAATAACATTCAAGACAAACAAGAGAGAACCTGCAGCCACTGCGCCAACCCGTTGCAGGTTCTTCCCAGTATTCTGGTCTTGACGGAAGTGTGCAACCTTTGGCAGGCTCTTCCCAATATTCTGGCGTAGGAGGCAGGGCAACAGGGCCATGGAGAAAAACATGGTTGAAATTTCTCAGCATGCAGGTTGGGTACATCTTGAATTTTAGCATATCGCAATATATTGCAATATATTGCAATATATTGCATAGATGTGGCTGACCCTGCATTATTCCAGCCACTCATTTCCATGACATCGGTATCAGCTGAGTTGTCGACAATTCACAGCTGCAGTGATCTCGGACCAATCTCACTGATTGGATCTACTGTAAGACAAGCAACATCAACCAACACCAACCAACATGAACCAACTGAATCCTATTGACATTTGAGCACATCCTACTGATCTGGCACTGAATCGCTGAGGGGATCCTGTTCCAGCCATCCAGAGATGGGAAGGGGAGAAGGAGATGAAGGACGCCCTTGGGACACGAATCTGGCGTGAACATTCGGCAACAGCTGGACTTACTATGACTTACTACATAATTTCTATATTTGTTCAATATGTTCAATTTTGTTCATTGTTTCTGGTGGTTTGATGGACAGCTTGAATTTTCAGCCTCAGGCATGATCCTTGATGTTCAAACATTTTGGGTCAGGAGATGGCAGAATCCTTGCTCTGGGCTCAGGACAATGTGCCAGGCAGTTTCTGACGGTAAAACTGCTGTAATATGATGTAAATTACGACAGAAGTGTCATTCCGACCAGCAACAAATTCAAGTGAATCTTTTTTGAATGTTTCACGTTGAACGTTTGCAGCGTTGAACGTGCACAAGCTACGCCTTTCATCTTCTCAGCCTGCTCAATGGTCGGCCTCTGAGGCCTGTGGTGAAAGTACCCACACATGAGCAGGCATGGAAGGGCTTTGTGTCCTGGGAGAGACCTATAAAAGAAGTCCGCCATGATTCTAATATATCATAGTCTATATATATATGACACCTCAATTCTCGTTTGAATCTGGTAAGACCGCCCACAAACCTCCTCTTGGACACATGGTTTCTACCTGTTTCTACCAACCACCTTGGGCAGAATTGGGCTACAGACAGAGCCCAACTACCACTCCGTATTGCAGATAAGAAGAGGACATAAGAGGACACCAAGGGCCAGAATGTTTCTATCATCAGGATGCCTCCGGTACTGTATATCCATGGTGCATCAAGTTATATCATATAATTATCAATATATATATATATCATATATCAATATATATCGTATATCAATATATATCGTATATCAATATATATATATCACATATCATATATCACATATCATATCTTCAATATTTATGTCATGTATCATATATCACAATTTAACATATCATAAGATATCCATATCCAGTGGACCCCTCGCAGGTACAGCGATTGGCAATGAGGGATCCTCCTCCTGCAATTTGGGCTGTGGAACAGGCAGAGTTGAAGCTGGTGGGATATCCCTGGAGATCGCTGGGAAATCCCATGAAGATATGGAGGTTTTAATGGGAACATGTGGGAACATCATTTGGATGTGGGTCAAAATGGAAGACCATTAATGGGACCACAGATGTGAATGTCTAGTGACTAGTATTCACCATCCATAATTTTGGGGTACCTAATTTTGACCCATACCCATTTGATAAAATGGCAGATACAATGTGGTAGGCCCCTGTACCCCCTGGTAATTTATCAGTTTGCCATGGAAAATCACCATTGATATAGGTAAACCATCTATAAATGGACCATGTTCTATAGCTACTATGTTGAATTACCAGATCCCAAATCCCGTAAATTTTACAAAGCTCCAATGTCTTGAACGTTGCATTTTGTTTGCCTTCATAAGAGAGATCATAGGCACAAGTTTAGCAATAGAATAGCATCATCGTGCAATTGGCGCCGGGGGTGATTCCAGAGCGTTGCCAGGCGATTTGGTTGGGCGGCGAGAGTGTGGAACATCTCGGTGGCAAGGTGGGGCTTCACATGGCGCCATGATGTGATGAGGGATTGAAGCTGCAACACCTGGGTGTGTCTGAAAATAGTGTACCCCTAAACCCAATGGTTAATGATCATTATCCCTACTAAATGGCTATAATTGGGGGTATACCCCATTTTCAGACATACCCACCTGAAGAATTATCATGTCCCAGAAATCTCATATTTTTTGACATGTGAGGATGAGAAAGTCCTCGCTAAGCTACCTACCAACCAGTACAAGGGGGAATGCGACTGGTCTCCGAATGTCTTCAACTTTCATCCTTGTCTCAATGAAGTGTGACCTTTGGATCCAAATAAGTTGCAGATAAGACTTGACCTCCGAAGTCAATGGAACCATCCTCCAAAACACACGTACTGTATACCCTTTGCTAATCAAAGATGGCGAAAATCAAAAATATCAAGATTCACAGGGGATTTCCCATGGTCATGTTTCAAGCTGCCGAAGGAGCCGAAGGATCCGAAGGGTAGATGTATCGTGAATTGAAATGATTTGCGACCACGGCCCAGTTTGGCTCAACTCCGTGCAGTGCTCCGATCCCCATTGTCCTTCACCGATGATGACGACGCCACGACGTTTCGCTTTCATCTTTCCCATGGCTTCAGGTACAGGGCCGGGAACCCGATGGGAGCGTGGGATTTACCTGGAAGATCCTGGGCCTGGAAGTATCATGGCTGATATTGAAACATCATTGAAGGATACGAAAGACATCCATCATTTTGTTTGCAGGTCTTTGCAAGATGCTCACGGATGATGGAATGGCTAGCTGATTTTTTGGAAATAGAATATACATTACTGTATAATTGTATACTGTATTACATGGGGATCAAACATCGGCAAACACAGCATAAAGTCTTACAGAAATCGGCACCAGCTGCATATTAATAGATTCATCAATGCCAACATGTGCGACTCACCTTCAACTTTCGACCATTCAGCCCCGTACCATTCACCACCTATATTTCAACCATCCTTGCCACTGAACCATCCAGCCAATTTGCTGTCTGGTAGGCCATCCTGTTTCAACCAGGATCAACCACTCAACCAGTGCCAAACAACTTCAAACACGCAAATTCAGCAACTTAACATAACTGAATCACATTTCGACCATTTCAAGCATTTGAATCCATTTGAACCATCTCAATCAATGAGATTTCACCAAGCGTTTTACAAAACCTTTCCAAACCTCAGCTGTCGTTGTCAGGTCATTTGAATCCGTCGCTGCCTGTCTCCCGGGCCCTAGTGGATGGAGGTGGGAAATGGTGGGAAAAGTGAATGCAGTCCGTAGAGTTTCAGACCATAAAATCTAGTACAGTACTGGTACTATAGAATACTATAGAATCCCAATTTTTTTGTGCATTAAATACGTACAATACGTTAAATCCCCATAGCTTGTAGCTGCATTCCAGTTTTGTATCCCCATTTATGGTGCCTAAATAGCTTAAATCAGGAGGCGTGTTGATATTTTGCCTTGTGGTTTCGTACATGTTTCTCCATTTTTCCCAGTTTTTTTTGTCGATTTTTTCAAATTTATGTTGCGCCTATGTTTGATTTATGTGTGTGAATTTGACCCTTTTATGTTGTGGTGTAGAGTGGGGTGGGGTGGGATGTTAATGTTCAGTTGAGATACAACTTGCGTAGCCACGCCAATGTGCCTGTGGAGCTTGCAGATTTGGCATCAGACCATAAATGATGAGGTGAAAAAAATGAGGCGTAGGCGGCGTCGGCACAGCCTTGCCGGCAGCCTGATTTTGAACCTCCCCTGTAATTAACAACGAGACAATGATCATTTTACCCCAAGGCTAAATTCCAGCGAGTGACCAATCAGGAGAATCAGGTCTCGAATACCCATCCAAATGGATATCTTTGGTGAACTGTCAGATATTGTGGATTTCCCCAGTGAAATCCCTCCATTTTTTCCCTCCGTCAGGTCATGAGGTCCACTACCTCTGCCGTGAGCAGATGCGCGAAGCCATCGAGGGCACTGGAGCCACCTTCCATGACGAGGTGACGGCCATGCCGGAGATGTATGAAGGGCGTACACCAGACATGTGCCTTGAGGGAAATACATGGCTTGGATGGAGATGTGGAGAGGCTATTTTCATTAGTTTTTATTATTTTTTTTTTTTTTTTGCCTGGAAACTTTACATGCCAAGGAATTGTCGCATACTAGAATAAGATATTATGTAAGATAGAATAAGATATCATAGGATAATATATATATATAGCAATAAGATATGATAAAATATGATAATATATATGATAATAAGATATATCATAAGATATATAACAATATATAATAGGATATAATGGGATAACATAGGATATAATAGTATATAATAGTATATAATAAGATATACTAGGATATAGTAGGATATAATAAGATATAATAGGATATAGTAGAATATAATACGATATAATAAAATATAATAGGATATAATAGGATATAATAAAATAGAATAGGATATAATAAAATATAATAATATGTAATAAGATATAATATATATATATATGTATACTGTAAGTACAACATGGAACAACATACCACTGGTGTAAATGTACAGAATACACACAGAAAGGCTGACTTTTTTGTCACCGAGGTTTGGAGCCTTGACAGATGTCACCAAGGAATACGGCTTGGAAGATGACTCTTTGATGGTAGCTATGTGTAAAATCAAGGAGATCATGAGTGAAACCTGGCGCATAATTAAAGCTTTTCTGACCAAGCAACCAAAGTTTATTCCATTTCACTGGGTCATTCACATTTATCATGAAGTGAAACCATGAATTTCTGAGCCACTTTAACAGGGAATCTACAGATAAGTGTTTTATTTTTTCCCTGGGCCGCTGAAGCATAGCAATTCCAAGGAAATGATGCTTCCAGGTCTCTTGCGATGGCTTAAAAGCGTCAATGCCCAAGTAGTGGTGTGCTGCCCACTGCTGAACCGCGAGGCCTGTTGGGGCGCCCAGATCACCGGCATTCCCTGCGTGGGTTTGATGACCACGGCGGGACCTGGGAGCATGGCCCATGCGATGAAAGACTTTCTGGAGAAGATGGGGATGACCGTCGAGGAATGCCTGGAACACCGCAAGAACTACCAGCCACTGCAGGAGTGCTTTGAGCGCTTGCGATCCAAGTGCCCTGGTGGCCAATGGCGTCAACATGGCACGGATGATATGTTGTGTTCTTAGCTTAGAGAAACACCTTCTGGGGTCACCAACCTAAAAAACATGGTTTCCAACTGTTTTGCAAAGAACATCTACTGGACGCGGGCGGCCCCTTCAAATAGGAAAGCTGGAAACACACAGAAAGGAGACTACACGTACATCATTGCCATGTGTTCTACCAAGGAAATCACAGTCCTTCCAAAATCCATCGCAAAATGGACACTATTCAATCTTGATCCAAAATGTTCACCAAATTTCACCAGTCAATCCAACATGATGCAACATTTTAATACATTTAAATAGATTTCAATCGTCTCATCATTTTCATGGCCATGGGACTATTTCATGGGATTTCCATGGCACTCTTAATGGAATCCCCATGTTCCGCAGGCATGGCATCCCAGTCCTATCCAGGTATGGCATCAAGGTGGCCTACAACGATGACATGGAGCCTTGCGGCAAATGCTCCGTGGCCATTGACTCCGCCTTCACCTTGGTGACCACGGCAGAGTTCTTGGCGGATCCAACGCCTAAGGATCTCCAGGAGCTTTATGAGGCAACTATTACTATGTGGGGTGGTTAGGGGGTTGGGGATGTTGGGGAGGGAAGAAGAAGGGCAATAGCGTCCTGATAGGATCAGCTAGAGCGTCTTCCCAGGCTGCAAGCACTAGTTTTCCTCGGCCAATAGCCAGTCAGCGCAGCGCCTAAGGTACAAGCTATATTACTCTATATCTCTCTCTTGAGCCTTGACAGCGTATATAAACTGTGCTCAGTACTCATACTATGCCCTGGTAGGGTCGAGTCCAAAACAAAAACGCAGGCACAAATTCAAAGGCAATGAGTTGAGCACTACGCATTTTCGTGCCCAATTCAGAGTAAGAGTTCTAGCTGGTAAACTAGATTACACGTTGGCTAATCAGCAAAACTAGCGGAGAGCGCGCAGTGGATTCTATACAAAATGACGGAGCGCTAGCGACATTGATTGCGACAAAGTGTCCTAAAGACATGTCCTGTCGAAGTGAAAAACAGCGGATTGCGAATTATTTTTTGACAATGGTGCGCAATGCACGGTCGATCACGGCAAAATGCTCTATAGGTGGCAAGTTCTCTCCAAACGTAGGTGCAAGATTTAGAAATTCAGGTCAGACGAAAAGCAATTGACCAAAACACGAAATACACGGATGAAATTCGGATCTCCAAAGTCGCTCATTCAAGCAGACAATGGACAAATTTGGAGTTGGTATAAAGTTCATTCACATCAGAAATTATCTGCTCGGCAGAAAATATGTGGAGACAAATGTGATATCATCTCTTCGTTAAAGTTAAAGAATATAGTATGTATCAGCAAATGAAAAAGACGAAACTCTGTACACAGGAATGGTATTATCTCTCTGTTGTAAGAGTATTTACCATTTTGTGCAAAAAGAAATCAGCTCACAGAAAAACTGTACAGAGCAAAATCATCTTGTGTTATCTTCTCCTTTTAGCAGTATACACTCTCATTTGTACTTCGGTCTCCATTGCCATGTTGACGAAGCTGCGGAGCCACCATAACCAGTGTTGGAGTCTTGTGTCCACGTGCCTCTGCCATCCCAGTTGTCCCATGATTCGTCCAGTAAAAGACCATCACCAAAGCCTTGGCCCTTGCGCTTGTTCGACTTCTGAATATCCTTCCTTCTTTCCTTTCGTTGACTCTTCTTGGCTGGAGGAACATAGGCATGTTTTTCCTTCCATCCCATGTCAGAAGGCTTCAAATGAGCAAGAAGCGGGTTGTGCGCATCAGTGTCAGTTGGGGCAACCATGAAGATGGTGTGGTCACAAGATAAACAGGTTTCATTGACTGAAAAAGAAAATTCTCCACCATCATGTGGTCTTGATCATCAAAATCATTGACGTCCTCCTCAAAAGCTAACCTTGCGTGTCCCCATTCACATATGGACCATGCAACATTCGCCAACACTCTCAGTTTTCTTGGCCAGTTCAGGAGTATAAGTTTCGTTTCGGTTTTTACTCCTCTGAGAGTTTTCGCCAAGAATACGAGGCCCTTGTAGCAACAAGAAAAAAAGTGTTTAACCCTAACGGCCGGTGCCTTTCCGTAATTCTTTATCGTCGACTGAGTGGCTGTATGAATCATACGATCGATCCAAAACTGAAGCTAGCTGACTTCATATGATGGACAGCCTCCGACCTTCGGAGTTGCAAGGTAGCAAACTTTATTTCCGTCGCCTGCGATCACGTCAACTTGGAAACGGATACACTCCCAAGACATACATGCAAGAATTTCTCCGCAGATTCCTTGCGACTTGGAAATATTTTTCTTGTCCGACGTGATAGACACACACACATGACACATGGACATCCTTGCTCGAGTGAGGGGCTCCTCTTCATCAGTGTCTCTGTTCAAAGCTGTGCCCCACAAAATCTCAAATATTTGCCCATGATACCTATCTGGCACATGTGTCATCTTCACCTGTTTTGTAACCATCAATTTGTCGAACATATCCGTCTCTTCCCACACGAGCAGCAACCATAAGGTCACGATAATCATTGAAGCATGTGATGAATTGCTCCTCTTCAAGTAAGAACCTGTAAGGATAGAGGCTTTGCGCCTCGCAATTTGCAAATAAATGTGCTCCCAGATTCTTGACAACGTCGATCAAGTAGTTGTTGAACTGTGGCTTGTCCCCTATCTTCTCATGGTCACGGTCAGTCTCATAATTGATATGCGTTTCACACTTTTGAAGCTTCTCAGGCAGTGGAAATTTGTTGAAACGTGACCTACACCAATTTCCTAAGTTCCAAAACGCCAAGGAAAATTGTGGTGAGGATCGATATGGAATTATCGATATGGATAGTCCAAGTAATTCTGGATCAAACATGCCAGCTCCCAAATACCGTGATGCAAGACACTGAAGGACTACGCAATATGGTAAACAACCATGTCGCTCCCCATACTCACTCACAGTGAGAACACTAGAAAGAGTCTGGAAGTCATCTACTAACCGTTTTCTCGGCTTCATCTGTCAATCGCTCAACGGATTCACGTGCTCGAAGATGAAGACGAGGGTCTGAGCAACCATAGACTGCATCCTTGCGAAGGTCCTCTAGCAATGACAGTGGGTGTTCATCCTTTTGTCTGGCAATGTAAGCTTCCATCAATTGCTTGTCAGAATCGGTGTACCAGTGGTCTTTGTGTGGTTCACTGGTCTCCCTGTATTTTAAAATGCCACAACATGTGTCGATGCTGACTTGAAGCTGGACAACCTTGATCGTAAAAACCTGACCATTCATCATAGTAGTTGTTGGTAAAACACTTGGAAAGCTCTCGAAAAATTGAATCATCTTCATTTCCAGTGATATCTTGACCATGATAGAAACGTGTGGCAGGTTCTTTCTTTGGAGCCGTGTCATCATGTTGAATATAATCTTTCTTCCCCTCTGGTTCCTCTCCCTTCTTAGAGCTTCCAGATGGAGCTGGTGCCTCTTCCTTTGAAGAGCTTCCAGTCTTTTGATCAGACAGGAATGAATCATCTGTCTGCATCTCCGTGCTCACCTTCTCAGGTGGTGGCACCTTAGGCCCTCAGCTTCAGCTTGATCATCTTCGACATCCATGTCTTCTTCTTCCTCTTCTTTTTCTTCTTCTTCTGCTTATCTTCTTATCTTCTTATCTTCTTATTTTCTTATCTTCTTCTCTTCTTATCTTCTTATCTTCTTCTTCTTCTTCTTCTTTTTCTTCTTCTTCTTCTTTCTTGGCAACTCTTTCCATGATTCTCTTTTTGAGATTATTGTCATAGAGTCATACATGTTGAGCCATTGGATGGTACATTCAACAAGTGCATCGTCTTCTATTTCCAGAATAATGTGTTTGTTTTCACGACTCAAACATTCAACAGTACCCTTGGATTCTGGGTCACCTTGGCCTTCATCATCTTGTCGTCTTAGCGGAATGTTGGGATCATCTTCTTCAAGATCAGGATCATCTTCTTCCTCAAAGGAGCTTTGATTCACATGCTTATTCTCCTGCAAGACCTTTTTGATATCAAGACGTAGGTCGTGATACTGTTCATCTGTAATGCCAGTCTGTGATGAAACTGGAAAATATCCAGGAAGGCGCATTGAGATTCATGAGCCATGTACTCCATCATCAAGACCATAGCAAAAGAACCAACTTGATCACGATGTGACAGTTCTCTTTCTGGATCTCTATGATCGCCTCTTAGGACATTCTGAGACTTGAATGCGCATGTTCTCAACAGCTCTCGGTGTTGTGGCTTGAGCTGCTGAATCATGAAGTTACCATACCTTTCCTCAGGTGTGCGACCTCTTGGCAAAGGTTCCACCACAGGCATCTCTGCATCATCAGAGCGTCTTGAGTGATGGGATGCTTCCTCTCCCTTTTGAGACCCTACATCTTCTGCTTTCTCTTCCTCTTGAGGTTGAGGTCTGATACTGACTTCCAGAGTTGGTAAGGAATCTTCTTCTTCCTCTTCTTCTTCGCCATCACCTTCCTGCATTTCAACATCTTCTGCATGACCTTTTGGAATCTGCACAATATTGTCTCGAGTGCCAATCCAAACATAGCCCTGAAGTTTGGTAGATGAGTGAAATTCACCTGCGCCAATATCCTTTGCTTTTGTTCTCGCACGTGCAGATTGATGGAAGGCTTCATGCTGAAAGAACTGATTGTAAGCTTGCTCAACAAAGAAACTGTATGACTGGGCAGCCATCTCCCTCCTACTCTCGAAAAACTGGAAAAGTTTCTTGTAGGCAAAGTCGACATAATGACAGAAATCACGAGGTGCATCTCTCAGATGCAGTTCAATGGCCAGGACCATCAGCTTGGTGGAAAATGAAAAGTGGGATTCTGGATATGGAATGGCTGTTTCTCTGTTCATGGGAACTGTGAAAATCAGGTCGAGATGTGTCATACCCAAACATATTCAGCTGAAGTCCCACTATAGGGTTCCATCATCATCAAACTTCTTTCGACAGAAATCACCCCAAAGCCGATCATTGTCTCTGATCAAATGATCCAGATGGATTTGGTAAAACTGGAATACTGCTTCAACTAACCGTTCCATGTCTTGTTGAATCTGTTCATCACGCTCGCACAAGATCCAGTTCTCTGACCAATGTGCTCTGTCAATGGCAAATCGGTCTTCCCATCCTGGTGGTTCACCTGCGCCTCCCATCCAGTCTGTGCGTTGATTCTGCATTCTGTCAGAAAATGATCAATCATTTTGTACTGACCTGTTTTCATGTAATAGGATCTTAATCTGCCCATTTCCCAACTTCGTCCTGTCCATGGAAGCTTCTCCCAATCAGCTCGTCCTATTGGCTGTCTTCTCAAGGCAACTCTTTGAGGGGATAGAAAAAATGCCCATTCTCTGAGAGTAGGGTCGGATCCAAAACCAAAACAAGGGGTGCAACCGGGGACATGATCATCATGATATGATGTTCTCAATATGATATAGTAGTGCTTATTGTGGACCATAGGGCCATTGGGATCAGGGAAGCGTTTTGCTGGAGTGATATAATGGAATATGACAATAGTCAGTGTCTTTAGACGCTCCACATTATCAGTTTGATAAGACCCCAGGATGCCATAGAATTCCCATATGATCAGTTTAAGTGTTTGATCTCCATCATAAAACCACGATAACTACCAGATCATCAATTTTTCTTCCCATCATTTCTCCAAAAGATAAAACACAGAGTTTCTTTCACAGACACCCTGATGCCGAGGCAAAGCACACCAAATTCATCTTTGTTGGGCCGCTGCTGGACAAAGCCGGAGCCAAACGTGCCGCAGGACATAAGTTCACCATGGAAAAAGGGACCCACGACGAAGCCGCCGGGAACCCCGCGGTGCCCGAGTGCGACTGGGCGATGGTTTGTTGGCGTCCATTGGAGCTACCCCGTTGATGCTTTGCTCGGCGCGTATACTATCTACTGCATTGGGGGATTATCATGAAAATCTATACAATGGGAAACCGTATTGCCCTATGAAGCAACCATCACAAAATGTCAGAGGGTTTTGGACACCGCTTTTTGAGGTGATGAGAATCCACATGATAAACCCTATCTGAATTTATTTGAGTGTATAGTATAGCCAATGATCCGTTGGGTCCAAGGTCACAAATATCGGAATGAAACAA